GCTTAGGTGATCTTTCCGCCTCAGCCTTCCAAGTAGCTGGAACCACAGGCATGTGTCACTACACCTGGCCAATTTTCTGATTTGCTGTAGAGATGAGAGCTCACCAAATTGCCCAGGCTGGTCTTGAACCCCTAGACTCAGCCAATCCTCTTGCCTCCGTCTCCCAAAGTTCAGGTATGACAGGCATGGGCCACCTCACCCAGCTCTACAAAATGTTTTTTTTTTTAAATTAGCCATGGCCGGGCTCAGTGGCTCAGCTTGTAATCCCAGCACTTTGGGAGGCCGAGGCAAGTGGATTGCCTGAGCCTGCGGGTTTGAGACCCACCTGGGCAATTTGGCGAGACTTCATCTCTACAATAAATCAAAAAAATTAGCCGGGCATGGTAGTGCGTGCCTGTAGTTCTAGCTACTTGGAAGGCTGAGGCAGAAGGATCGCCGGAGCCCAGCAGGTCAAGGCTGTGGTGGCCAGGAGTGTGCCACTGTACTCCAGCCTGGGCGACAGAGTGAGACTCCAACTCAAAAAAAAAAAAATTAGCCAAAGGCCAGGCACAATGACTCACACTGAAACCCCATGACTTTGGGCGGCGGAGGTGAGAGGATTACCTTAGTCCAGGGGTTCAAGACCAGCCTGGGCAACTTAGCGAGACCTCCTCTCTACAATAAATAAATAAATAAATAAATAAACCATGCACACCTGTGGTCCCAGCTACTTGAAAGACTGAGGGAAAAGGATCATATGAACCCAGGAGGTTGAGGCTGCGGTGGCTGTGATCATGCCACTACACTCCAGCCTGGGCGACAAAATGAGACTCCAACTCAAAATATATATATATATACTTAGCTGGGCATGGTGGTGCGTGCCTGCATTCCCAGCACTTTGGGAAGCTGAGGTAGGAGGATCACTTGAGGTCAGAAGTTTGAGGCTGCGGTGATTTATGAGCATGTCAGTGCACTCCAGCCTGGGCAACAGAGTGAGACCATGTGTCCAAAATATATAAGCACATAAATTAATTTTTTTTTTTTTTTGAGTTGGAGTCTCACTCTGTCGCCCAGACTGGAGTGCAGTGGCCGCTCCCGGCCACCGCAGCCTCGACCTGCTGTGCTCCACACCCGGCTGATTTTTTTGATTTATTGTGGAGATGAGGTCTCGCCAACTTGCCCAGGCGGGTCTTGAACCCGCGGGCTCAGGCAATCCACTCACCTCAGCCTCCCAAAGGCGCGGGATTACAGGCTGAGCCACTGAGCCCGGCAGCACATAAATTAATAATGACAAACTCATATTGTTCTTTGCCTGTGCAAGGCACTATTCTAAGCCCATTACATATATTAACTCATTTAATCCTCAAAACACACCCTGTAGATTCTTTTTATTACTACCATCTTCCCCATTTTATAGATGAGAAAACAGAGGGATGGGAAACAGCAGTGCTGGGATTCGAACTCAGGCACTCGGGCTTCAGAGTCCATGCTCTTCATGACCATGCTCTCTAAAGCAGTGCCACTTTGCCGGGTGTGGTGACTCACACCTGTCATACCAGCACTTTGGGAGGTGGAGGTGAGAGAATTACCTGAGTTCACGGGTTTGAGACCAGCCTGGGCAATATTGTGAAACTTCATCTCTACAATAAATCAAAAAATTAGCCATGCATGGTGGCACGCATCTGTGGTTCCAGCTACTTGGAAGGCTGAGGTGGAAGAATCGCCTGAGCCCAGCAGGTCGAACATGCCACTGTACTCCAGTCTGGGTGATAGAGTGAGACTCCGACTAAAAAATAAAAAATAAAGCAGTGCCGCCTAGCAGAACTTTCTGTGAGGGTAGAAATATTCCACATCTGTGTTGGACCATATGCTAGCCACCGATCATTTGAAATGTGGCTAATGTGACAGAGGAACCAAATATTAAATTTTCTTTCATTTCAATTTATTTATTTATTTATTTTTTTTGTGAGTTGGAGTCTCACTCTGTCGCCCAGGCTGGAGTGCAGTGGCACACTCACGGCCACCTCAGCGCCGACCTGCTGGGCTCTCGCGATCCTTCTGCCTCAGCCTTCCAAGTAGCTGTAACTAATTAACCTGGCTAATATTTTTTATTTATTGTAGAGACAAGTTCTCGCCAAGTTGCCTGGGCAAGTCTTGAACCCGCGGGCTTCAGCAATCCACTCACCTTGGCTTCCCAAAGTGCTGGGATTACAGGCTGATCCACCAAGCCCGGCTTTTTTTTTTTTTTTTTTTAAGACAGAGTCTCACCATCTTCCAGGCCGGAGTGCAGTGGCACCCTTATGGCCACCGCCGTCTTGACCTGCTGGGCTCAGGCAATCCTTCCGCCTCAGTCTTCCAAGTAGCTGGAACCATAGGTATGTGCCAACATGCCTGGCTAATTTTTTGATTTACTGTAGAGACGAGGTCTTGTCATGTTGCTCAGGCTGGTCTCAAACCCCCTGGGTTTAGGCAATCTTCTCATCTCCACCTCCCAAATTGCTGGGATTACAGGCAGGAACCACCGCCCCCAGTCATGTGCATAGTTTGTAAAGAAACAGGAAGAGCCAGGCTCGGTGGCTCAGCCTGTAATCCCGCGCCTTTGGGAGGCTGAGG